AGGAACGAGGCTGTTTCTCATAAACATTGTCTTCCTAAGGTTCGGCTGTAATCTGACCTTTCCACACTCTTGGTCGAAGTCGGCCAGCATTTGTGCCACTTGGCTAATGTTTGGTGTTATTAAAACGATGTCATCCGCAAAGTGGAGATGGTGTAGTTGCTGACCATCTATCTTCACTCCCATTCCTTCCCATTCCAGTCGTTGCATGACGTTCTTGAGGGTGGCACTGAAGAGTTTCAGTGAAATAGTATCACCCTGCCAAACTCCTGTTGTGACATCAATAATCACTTCTTTGTAGAATAGTGAGATCCTGGAAGTGAATGCGTAATACGGCTCACGGAGGATCCTGATGTATTGAGTTTGAACGCTCTGTTTGGCTAGGGCTTCTATGACCGCTACAGTCTCAACAGAATCAAAGGCCACCTCCACTACCTCCACTACCCAGCTGCTGCCACGCTCCAGGATGCTTTCCGGATGCCTGTGCCGAGACTCACACATGAGTGAAGCCCCACAGAACCAGATAAGTAGAACTCTGTGACATATTATAAGACACTTAATACCCATCTTCCTGGATTACCTCACCATATTTGATAGGGTTCAAATATGGTTTGAACCATGGGAACACCTGCAGGAACTATTAGAGGCCGCCCTATAAATGCCTCTATCCCTCTCGGAGAGCCTGGCAATCTACCAAGAATATCCAGCCCACATGGCAAAGCCTGGCAAGCTATCTATGGCATATTCGATATGCCTAAACCAGTAAATACAATGGGTCTTATCAGATAGGTATTGGCTATTCTTTCCCATTCTGTTGGCTCTTTCTGTATTTTGGTCACTGTTTCTTTTGAAGTGCAGAAGCTTCTTAGTTTGATGTAGTCCCATTTGTTTATGTTTGCTTCCACTTGCATGGCCAGTGCTGTTTCACCCTTAAAGATGCTTTTAGCTTCAATGTCGTGTGTGTGTGTGGGGGGGTTCTACCCACATTTTCCTTTATGTCCCTTATGGATTCATGTCTGATATTGAGGTCTTTAATCCACTTTGACCTGACTTTTGTTCCTGGCATTAGACAGAGGTCAGAGTTCATTTTTTTTGCAGGCAGCTATCCAGTTTTCCCAGCACCACTTGTTGAAGAGGCTTTCCTTGTTCCACTTCACGTTTCTTGCTCCTTTGCCAAAGATTAAGTGGTCATATATTTGGGGGTCTGTGACAGAATATTCAGCTCTGTTCCATTGGTCTGTGTGTCTGTTTCTAGCCTGATACCATGGTGTTTTAATTACTACTGCTTTGTAGTAGAGTTTGAAGTTGGGGAAAGTGATGCCACCCATCTTCTCTTTCCCAAGGATTGCTTTAGCTATTCGTGGAGGTTTATTGTTCCATATGAATTTTAGGAGTTTTTTGTCTATTTCTTTGAAAAATATCATGGATATCCTGAAAAAAAAAATAGGGACCGCATTAAATTTGTATAGTGCTTTGGTCAGTATTGCCATTTAGATAATGTTAATTCTCCCTATCCATGAGCAGGGGATGTGTTTCCACTTCTTAGTGTCCTCTTTTACTTCTTGAAGTAGTGTTTTGAAATTTTCCTTGTATAGGTTCTTCACCTCTTTGGATAAGCTGATTCCGAGGTACTTGATTTTCTGAGGTACTATTGTGAATGGGATCGTTTTTTAACGTCTCTTTCTTCTCTTTTGTCATTTGTATATAAGAAAACCATGTACTTTTGGGTGTTGATTTTGTAGCATGCCACTTTGTTATACCGACCTATTGTTTCTTGGATCTTTTCTGTAGAGTCTTTAGGGTTTTCTAAGTATAGCATCCTATCGTCTGCAAATAGTTATGGCTTGACCTCTTCTTTTTCTATCTGTATGCCCCAGATTTCTTTTTCTTACCTAACTGCTACGGCCAGGAGTCCAGTACTATATTGAATAGGAGTGGTGAAAGCGGACAACCTTGTCTTGTTCCCGATCTTAGAGGGAAGGTGTTTAGTTTTTCCTCATTGAGAATGATACTTGCCGTGGACTTGTGGTAGATGGCTTTGACTATATTGAGGAAATTTCTTTCGATGCCCATTTTGCTGAAGGTTTTCATCATAAATGGGTGCTGTATCTTGTCAAATGCTTTCTCTGAGTCTATTGATATGATCATATGTTTTTTCTCATTTCTTTTATTTATATGATTAATTATGTTATTTGACTTGTGAATATTAAACCATCCTTGTATCCCTGGGATAAATCCTACTTGGTCATGGTGTATGATCTTTTCGATGAGTCGTTGGATTCTATTGGCTAATATTTTGTTGAGGATATTTGTGTCTGTGTTCATCGGGGATATCGGCCTTTCTTTGTGGTATCTTTGTCTGCTTTTTGTATTAGGGTGATATTTGCTTCATAGAAACTGTTTGGAAGTGTTTCTGATACTTCAATTTCGTGGAAAACTTTAAAGAGGATTGGAAGTAAGTCATTTTTAAAGATTTGTAAGAATTCACTAGCGAAACCATCTGGGCCAGGACTTTTGTGCTTGGGGAGACTTTTTAATACCATTTCAATTTTTTTGATGGTGTTAGGTCTGTTCAGGTATTCCAGGTCTTCTTGGTTCAGCCTTGGGAGGCTACAGGAATCTAGGAATTTATCCGTTTTCTCGAGGTTTTCTTGTTTCATGGCGTAAAGATTCTCAAAGTAATCTCTGAGGATTCTTTGAATTTCTATAGTTTCTGTTTTGATGACCCTCTTTTCATTTCTGATTGGGTTTATTAGGATTTTCTCTCTCCCCTTTTTTGTGAGTCTTACTAGAGGTTTATCGATCTTGTTTATTTTCTCAAAAAAAACAGTTCTTGTTTTCCTTGATCTTTCAGATTGCTTTTTAGGTTTATCATTTATTTCTACTCCAAGCTTTATTATTTCCTTTATCCTGCCTGGATTGGGCTTCTTTTGTTGGTCCTTCTCCAAGCTCTTGAGCTGTGAGGTCAGGTTATATATGTGGGCTCGCTCTTCCTTCCTGAGGAATGCTGTAGAGCTATAAACTTTCCTCTTAACACAGCTTTTGCCATGTCCCAATAAGTTTTGATAACTCATGTCCTCATTTTTGTTCGCTTCCAGGAATCTTTTGATTACATTTTTGATTTCCTTTCTAAGCCCCTTGTTGTCCAATTGTGAGCTGTTTAACTTCCAGGTGTTTGATTTGATTTTCTATTTGTGTGTGTGATTTACTCCTATTTTCAGCACATCATGGTCTGAGAATATCGTTGATACTACCCCTATCTTCTTAATTTTATGAAGGTATGTTTATTGGGTCAGCATGTGGTCTATCTTGGAGAATGTTCTATGTGGACTTGAGAAGAATGTGTATTCAGCTTTTTGAGGATGAAGTGAACTGTATATATCTACTAAGTCCCTTTCTTCCATTTCTTCCCTCAGATAAAGTATGTCCTTATTAAGTTTGAGTCTGGTTGATCTACCGAGAGGTGATAATGCAGTGTTGCTATCAATGTCTTTATTCAAGTCTATGTGTAGTTGTTTTAAGTACTTCGCTGATCCCTCGTTACTGGGATAAACTTACATTTAGAAGTATAATTTTTTCCTGCTGTACAGATCCTTTGATTAATAAAAAATGGCCTTCACTGTCTCTTATGACCTTCTTCAGTCAGAAATTAATGTGGATACCAGAATGGCCACCCCTGCTTTTTTATGGGAGTTGTTTGCCTGTAGGATTGTTTTTCAGCCTCTGATTCTGAGTCTGTGTTTGCTCGGACTGTTGAGATATGTTTCTTGCAGGCAGCAGAATGTTGGGTTCAATTTTCTGATCCATCCTGTCACTCTGTCTTTTAATTGGTGCATTTAGCCCATTGACGTTGAGAGAGATTACTGTTACAGGGTTTTGCCCCATCTTTCTGCCGAAATTTGGTGTATTTGAGGGGCTTGTCTTGACTTAAAGTAGCCCGTTTAGTTGTTCTTGTAGCCATGATTTTCAGTCTATGAAGTTCTTAAGCTGTTGTTTGTCTGTGAAACTGTGTGTTGTTCCTTCTGTTATGAATGAGAGTCTAGCTGGGTAATAAATTTTTGGTGAGGCATTAATTTGATTGAGTTTTTTCACGATATGCCACCACTGTTTTTGGGCCCTGAGGGTTTTATCAAATAAGTCAGCTGTGAATCTAAAGGATGTTCCTTTATAGGCAGTTTCTTTCTTTGATCTTGCTGCTTTCAAAATTTTGTCTCTGTCTAAGGTTTTCGTCATTTTTATCAGGATGTGTCTTGGGGTATTTTTATTGGAATTTCTTCTGGCTGATACACTTCGGGTCTCCTGAATGTGGTCGCGTGTGTTCTTCAGCTCTGGGAATGTTGTAGCAATGATGTTTTTTGTTGTAGCAATGGTTTCTTCTTCATCAGGGTTTTCTTCCTGTCCCTTTGGGACTTTTATAATTCTTATGTTATTCCTCTTGGCTTCATCCCAATCTTCTCTTGATATCTCTTCCCAGAGAGTGAGTATCTTTTCCATTTTCTTCTGTTGTCTGGAGAGTCTCTGCACTTTGTCTTCCAGCTCACTGATTCTGTCCTCAGCCGCTGTTTCTCTGCTACTGAGGCCATCCACTGAGTTTTTCAATTCGCCTATCAGGTTTTTCAAATCTGATATTTCCGTTTGTAATTTTGTTTGCATTTTCCTCATTTTGACTTTCAAATCCTCTTGCATTGTATTGCTGGTGCGTTCCATTGCTTCTTTTTATCTCCCTATGCATCCTCAGTAGCTCCCTTCTAAATTGAGTTTCATAGAGGTTGTCTATTGCTTCATTACTATTGGGGTCTTCTGGGTTAGACTCTTCACAAAGTGAGCTTGGTGGGCTTCTGCATTGCTTTACCATTGTGAATTGTATGGTTTAGACCTTAATGCACCCTTTTAACTTTTCGGTTTGGGTGTAGTCTTAAGTGAGATAGGGATAATGACTTACTGGCTTAATGTGTTTCTGGTGCTTAAGCTGCATTAGTGAAAGTTCCTCCTAAAAGGATAATTTATGGTTCTAACAGGATATAGAATGGGAGAATAATTCGCTGCCGAATTAGTGGCAACAGCTCCAGGAAAAAGCCCATCTGCCTGGGGGTAACTGGGTGGATGCGGAAAGAAGTTCACCGGAACTTGGAGCTGTAGATGCACATTGTGTTCCTTGGTTTCCATCCCCCGCAGTTCCAGGTGAAAAACCAGCCGGGAGGGCCTGCTTGGTCCCACGCAGCCACAGCTGCAGGGAAACTGACACTTTTTAAAATTCTATTACCTATGTTATAACTAACTTTAAAAAAATTGTTAGAAATGCCATGAAGTCTGCACATAGATCTTATTTACAGCACTGGCACTATTCAAGCATTGCCACAGAACAGTGTACTGATCACTCACCCTAGGAGCTATCTTTTGTCCCAGTAATTCCTCTTTCCCACCCTGCCCAGCCTCCCACATGCTGTCACAGCATGATATCCTTTAGATTTTGCTATGTTTAAGAAAGTTGAGTGATTTTCAACTCAGTAAGCAGGGTAAGGCCCACAGAGGGTAGACAGGATTAGGACTCTTTCCAAGTGTTCCTCATGTATGTAAAATTTATTAGTAAAATGTATCCAGAGCAGTGCCTCAGACTTTCTGGATTCAGTTGGAAGTGTGGAGCACTAGGAGAGTTGTAAAAAATCTCCGAGGGCGGTCAGGGGGTGGCCCCGACGGCTCTTCCCCTGGCCGCCCAGGATTCTGGGGTGCCCAGGATACTCTCCCAGCCCTGGCCATGGGGCAGATGGTGCATGAAGTGAGGGCCAATCCAGTTGATTGATCATATGCTTTTTATTCCATTCTCATCCCCCTTCACTCCTGTCTCTCTCTCTCTCTCTCTCTCTCCTCTCCAGGGCCCCAATCTGGAATTCCTTGTCCTCGCTCTATCTCTGGCCCTTATCCCCCAGCCCACTCTTACAGTCTAGTTAAATCCCAAAACCATGAGAGGCTGGGCTCACACATAGGTGTGGTCACATTCAATAGCGTTAAAGTTCTCTCCCTCAAGGGATGCTGCTTCTAGGACAGAGTCTCTTTCAGCAGGAATCCCATGGGTGTGTTTCTCCTCTCCTTGTCCAGCAAACATATAAACATTCAAAATATTAATAATTTTGTATGAAAACAGTGAGAGATGCATTAAGCTTATAGAATTGCTCTCCTGGGGTCATCCCAATCATAGCCTACAGTTCTCAGGCCAGATTAGACTTTCTTATCCCTTGGAGGGTCCTAGTATCGTCGTTACTTTTGGGTCATGACAGCATTTGTCCAGGATCAAACTCTTAACTTATAGGTAAGAATTATGGCACTTTGGCCAGGCCCATCTCGATGTCAGGGTAACACATAGCACATACCGTTTGCCTGGTTCCATCCAGTCCCTCGTTGGGATGCTGCTTTTGGGGGCATTAGGAAGTGAGGGTAACTGAGGCTTAAGTTGAGAAAGCCGATGCCTGGGAATGAATAATATTAGAAGTCAACTAAATCCCATGTTACGAAAACATAATATTAATTATCTCCTTGTGTCTGTACAAAAAATACATTGCTTTAAAGTAATTCATCTCAGTGAAAAGGATTTCTTACAGAGACAGAATTTCAAAAAATGTGGAGCAATGGGATTCTGCCATGGGTAGACCTAAAGTTCAGAAACCTGCAATGACCCCAGCCCAAACATCCACGTGGTTCTTCCTGTACCATCTGTGGTGTTTCACACAAAATCCTAGAAGAAAATATGAATAACACCGGGTGTTCTAGAGAGAGCTCATCTTCCTCTTGGCTGTTGCTAAAGGACAGAGAGATACTGAGCCTTTCCCTCATATGAAGCCTGGCCCTGTGAGCCCCATTCTGTGTCTCAGACCCTGACACTCTGAGGGGGAAGTCAGGAGAATCAGCATCCCTGTTATCTCCTCACCCGGCACAGGTGCCTCCCCCTCAGTTTTCTGACACAAACAGGATGTGGTTGTCACACTGAGTCTCTCACACAGTAATATAGCCGTGTCCTCATTGCTCAGCCTGCTCAGCTCCATGTAGGCTGTGTCCTTGGACTTGTGTGCAGTGAGTTTGAGTCTGCCCTGAAACTTCTGTGCGTAGCTTGTACCACCATTGCTAGGATTTATCCCTCCCATCCACTTGAGCCCTTGTCCCAGGGCCTGCCGCACCCAACTCATATCATAGCTGCTGAAGGTGTATCCGGACACCTTGCAGGAGATCTTCACTGATGTCCCAGGTTTTCCAACCTCAGCCCCCGGCTGCACCAGCTGTACCTGGGAGTTCACACCTGTGGACAGCAGACATGAGTGGTTGGACTCCACCTGACTGGCCTCGTTCCCTTAGCCCAAGGCATGGGGACGCTTACCTGCAACCACTGCCACCAGGAAGAGAATTCTCCAGGTCCATTCCATGGTGAAGACCGTGCACTCAGAGGCTTCTGAAGGTGTGGGTATGCCTGATGCTTGAGGTTGTCAGGACACATGCACATCTATATTTAACTCAGTATCCCTTGCATTATTTGCATATTCATGAGGAGAGAGAACTCATAACTGAAGGCCTGTTCCAACCTGTGCAGGGGCTGGTGGAAGTCACCGTGTCCATCTTCAAGGGGAGTGAAGAGGTTCACATTCTGACCCTTTTTTGAGAAGATGAGTCCCTGTCCTGGAACACAGAGCTCCCACTCAGGGGCCAAGCCCTTTGGGGACCTTCCCCTCAGGGCACCCCACATATTTATGGCCTGGATATATCTGGGTACACCGGGGCTCTGACATTATTTCTGGGATCCTGTAACTCCCAAAGGCATATTACAATGAGACTACAAAATCATCCTAATGCCCCAGAGGTTTCCATTGGGGATATTAAGAAGTCCACAAACACCTCCTGCATACAGATTTTACTGCCTTATCAATATGATAAATGTTTCTCCCAAAATAGTTAAGTATGCACAATTTAACCTTCTATGTCTTATTCTTATTTTTGTTTTGGTTTTCTCAACAAAGCAAAAATTATTTTTCTGGTTTTTTAAAAATGTTTTTATTTATCTTTTTTTTTTTTTGTTAAGTCTCTGCGAGATAGACCCTTACAAAGCTGTTTGTGATTTGATTTCAGCCACACGTTATTCCTGTTTTTGAAGAGAAACCCTTTTCATCTCTGCACCCCTTCAGGCCTGCAAGTCTGGTCCTGGGTCTTGGCGCCCCCTGCAGCCCAGTCCCCACCCTGCAGGGAGAGTCTCTGCACTCTTGGTGTCTCTAACACAGGATTGAATCCTGGGACTTCAGTTCAGAAGCCTTGTTCATGAGTCATATTCTTTTCTGGGCATCTTGTTTTGGTTTTGAGCCACACCTGGAAGTTCTGAGAGCTTACTCTTGGCTCTGTGCTCTGGAGTTTCTCTGGCAGATGCATCCTAGGAAAATATTGGCAAATCAAGTAGTTATATTTCTAACAATTGAAAGGTGACACGATTATGTAAAAGTCATACAATAAACACTTAATTCACTCAAACAAAAGCCATCAAAATAAAAGACGATTTAAATCTTTAAGTAAAGACTTTGATATAAACAAATATATATTAAATTGGTTAAATTTGTGAAGACTTTTTCAAAACCCAGGCATAAGTCGAACACAGCTGCAAACAAGTTTATTTTATAACTCTATTAATAGGACAGATATAAGTAAATAAATGAATAGCACTGTAGCAGTGTCCTCCTATTGTTTGCCGGAGTGGGTCCAGTAATGTCTGCATTGTGAAACTTGTTGTGATTGTGTTTGGCATATCAAATGCGACACGGGAAGCTTGCCAGGCTCTACCATGCATGCGGGATACTCTCAGTAGCTTGCCGGGCTCTCCAAAAGGGGCGCAGAAATTGAACTTGGGTCGGCTGGTGAGCCACATGTAAGGCAAACGTCCAATCACTGTGGTATCGCTTTAGCAAACTCTCTCCTAACCACCCACACAGTTTTATCCGGTAATTCGCATGATCCTAGGTCTTGGGGCAAAACTATGTTAACCTATTTGCCCAAGTAATAATGAAACTCATGGAAAAGTCGCACTTAGGGTCTGAAATCGTAGGGGGGTCAGCATGGTGCAGCTTCCCCCTCTGGTCCCTCCAGTATTTACTCACTGGCCAGGCCCGCGTGGCAGTGCCCAGGGCAGACACTCACAGGGGGTCGGACAGTATCTGCTGGGTGTTGGGCGAGAGTCCCCGGGTCTGATCTCTGGCTCTGGGTCCCGGCTTCCAGCGTCCTGTCCTCCGGCCGTGGTGGGGCGGGTTGCACTACTCCAGACCCGCGTTGGTCCCCATGCGCCCCCAGCTGAGGGGCTCCCTCGGCTGGGTGAAGGGGAAGACTGGCCTGGCGTGGGCCGCTGCCCCCGGGCTTTGAGTTGGTCGTGGTGGCCCTGGCTCCCCAGGGACAGTGGGCCCAGCACGAGCCCTGGGCCTGGCCCCCACGCGCTCCTGGCGAGCTGAGTGCGGAAGGGCCCTGGCAGGACCCACAGCGCCCCACGCGCCCCACGTGCCCCACACGCCCCTGGCTCAGCCGCTACCTGCTGTCGCCAGCGCTGTGGTCTTGCTGCTGGTACTGCTCTTGAGACTCCTTTGGCGGGAGGCCCAGGCCAAGCCCCCGCCACCCTGCCTCAGTCCCCTGCCTGGCCTATGCGCATCTCCCTGCCCCGCGGGGGTTCTGGCCCTGCTTGGCCCAGAGGTACCGGAAGCCCATCCAGCACCGCAGCGTCCTTCCCAACCGCCCGCATCAACCGCCTGGGCCTGGGGCTTACAAATGATGAGTAGGATAAAACAGTTAAGTTTTATTGGACACATGACTTGAACTCTGACTTTTCCAGTGACACACAAGAATATTATTTAAAGAGATTTACTTGGAGAAATGCAAGGGGAGAAAGAGAGAGAGGGAAAGAGATGTAGGGGGACGAATAGTAATGGGGAGCAGCCAGTACTCGGCGCAGGAGTCCTGGAAAGTTCTGGAACCACCGATCCCGCTGCCTGCCCTCAGGAGCTGTTTCCGGGTCAGGGGGCAAAAGTCAGGCAACCCCGCCCCGACATTCTCCCCCCTCTGACCCACCCTCTCTGGGCCCTGCGGCCCAAGACAGTCCGAGTCAGGCCCATCCACAGGACAGGTCAGCGGGAGCCGGTGTACGCTTGGGCCTGTCCCAGGGCTACCTGTGTCCACCCTGGACCACGGGGGCCGAGTGGGTAGCGCTGCCCGTGGCCTACCCGCCCTCCCCCTCCTCCCTGCCGATCCAGACTTGGAACCGCGTCTGGATCAGGCTCAACCCCAGGTGTTCCTTGGGGCCCCGACGCTCTGGGTCCTTCTCCCTAACAGTCACCCTGATACCGCATCCCTCCGACCCGACGGGAATGTCCTCGGGGGCGTCTGGTGGTCACTGTCCCGCCTCCCCCCAGGTATCCCGCGCATGGGGGTTCCCCTGGCGCGCCCCAGGTCCCCAAAAGCTCAGCGCTGTGTGGGCTGTGCTGAGACGTATCCAGTCAGGGGGACGTTGCCCGGCCACTGCTGTGCTGACCGGGTCTTCGTCATCAGGGGGGTCTGTCCTCTCTCCAAACCGGGTCTGGGCTGAGTTCACACGCACACAGAAACGCTGGCGGCGGGGACCAGGATGCCTCAGAGACCCTCTCAGATGCCCCAGAGTCCCCCTCAGGCACCTGGGGTGCTTCCTTGTGAGGGGAAAAGAGGCGTGGGCTCCCCCTGAGGGCCCTGGTCCCCTCAGTCCGGGACAGGAGACCTTCACCGAGGGCCGTTCTCAGTGGGAGACAAACATATAGGCCCGTCCAGGTGTGGGTTCATGTAGGAGGTTTGTGGGGAGGGTCTCTGGGGTAGGCAGGAGGGTCGTAATTTTTGAAACCTGTTCTCAGGGAATACATTTGTCTTTATTAACTCAGTGTACCTTGGTTGATGTTGATATTCATGAGGAAAAATCTGAGCTGAAGACCTGTCCCAATCTGGGGGAGTTCACGTGGGTGACATAGGGTCCAGTGCTCACCAAGTGAAGAGTATCCAAGCCCATGACGGTGCTTATTTTTGAGCTTGACCCTTGCCCTGTCCCTGAACTCTGAGCAGACAGAGCTTCTCCCCTGAATGAGAGTCCAACCTCTGAAGAGCACAGAATCCACGAGTCCTGACTGAGGGTTTATATCAAAGTTTGGATACCTCCATGACCCATGCTTGAGAGTTAGATTTTCCCTAATAGGAATCATTTCTATCAATAAATTAATCGCATCACCAAGCTCTGTAAGCTTGTAGAACCCCAAGCAGTATTTGAAATTGTCTTTGAACTATTGTCATTATCTTGTTTGTTGTTGTTGTTTAATTCTCCCAATATCAGGTATTTATGATTAGCACAGCGGGTAGGGCGTTTGCCTTGCACGCAGCCAACATGGCCGACCCGAGTTCGATTCCTCCGTCCCTCTCGGAGAGCCCGGCAAGCTACCGAGAGTATTCGATATGCCAGACACAGTAACAACAAAGTCTCCAATGGAGACGTTACTGGGCCCACTCGAGCAAATCGACGATCAACGGGAGGGCATGAAGAGTTAAGCCTGCCATGCACAAAGTCCTTTCCTGAGATAATTTCATTTGTTTTAATTGAATCAGGGAAACCCAGGACCTGAGGTAACATCCACTTACCCTGCTGTGCTTGCTATTGGGCTGCAGCCTTTGTGGGGAGCCTGAGTGCCCCCTGCTGCTCAGTCTCCTTCCATTATTTCAGTGACCAATTGCCTTGGAATATCTGAATTTATGGTGGCTTCTGAAGGGTTGTCACCAGGTCACTCTCTCCTCCTCATTCCTCCGTGGGCCCCACAGCTCACCTCTGCTCTGATCACCCAGAAATCATATCCCTCGCTGCTTCTGGGGCTAAACCCCTGCATAGTTATTAGTTGGGGCAACCCCTCCTGGGGACTCTCTGGGACCTGTAGGGCTGCACGCACTCCCCACACTGCCTCCATCTGCCTCCATTGCGCCCTAACAGGAAACAGGGTCCCACTGTCCATCAACTTTCAGTCAGAGAGCCCAGCTGGTCCAAGCCCTGCAACGCAATCACCATGACCAGGTAGAATAATCCAGATGCGAATATGATGCACTGCCAGGACTGAGTCCAGGTCAGACCCAGATACAGTCTGTCTAAAGTTCGTGCAAGTCAGGATCTGCGGGAACCCATTTCTGCCCAATGCTCACTCACGGTCCAGACAAGGGCTGTCTTGGAGGAAACTGCATATAAAACAGAATTTGCACACCCACAAGAAGGACATCAGGAACCATGAATAGTTAGTGGGTTTCAAATGGTTTAATGTGAAAGTAAAAACCAAATAATTCATCCATGAAAGAATTTCATATGTATTTTAATGTTTTTACTGGGGCTGGAGCTATAGCAAATTGGTAG